ACTGCTCTGTCTCCCTTCCTCTCACCTACCATTCACCCCTTCTTTGTCCCTGATCCTAAGAGATTTTGTCCCTTTCTCCTGCCACCCCCACATCTCTGTCTTTCTTAGCTGCTCTTTATGTCTTGTTTTGGTTATTGATTTATTATTTGTTTTTGCTTTTTTTCCCCTCTGGTTCCTGTGAGTATTTTCAAAGTACAGCTAGGTTCCAGGGCTGAGTGATAGGAAGTGGCATGAGGGCTGGGGATTGGGGGCAGAATGAGCCAATCCCGTCTGTGTCACCTGGTACTTAACAAGGAAAGAGGTTGGGCCCTTGTCCTTGGTGCCACCAGTATGAGGGAGCAGCTGTCCTTAGGAAGCCCTGTTATTAGGGGCTGCGGTGTGGGAAATGATTAGCAACACAGAAAACCCAGGGTTTTCTGGGAAGCATGGTGTAGGGGCTCCTATTCTTAGTGGCCCTGGATGCTGTGGCTTTGGTGGTAGCAGAGCTTCTCACACCCACGTCTTGTCTAAGTGCATTGCACGCTTACACTTGTGAGCTCAGAGCTGCTGTGCCAAGGCCCCGCACCCCCTCGAGCACAAAGCAGAGCAGGCACTCAGCGACTGTTTGTTGAGCAAATGACCTGAATGAGGTATTAATGAGGTTCAGTGATGTCTGGTTAGGCACCTTCTTAGACTCTTCCCACTTTGGGGGACATTTTGGGGGCCGGCCCAAATGTTCCCAGTGTTCTCCTGAGGAATTGCTTTCCCTTTCTCTGAAGATTTTCTGTTGAGCAAGTGATGTTGGTGACAGCATCATGTTAGATGGTGGTGGTGACAGGGTTTAGAGTCTGGGTGTGATGGTTTTAAAAAATGGCTTTAAATTCTTTGACTATCCTTCCATCAAAAGGTGGGGTGTTTGTCCTTTCCCCTAGAATCTGGGCTGGCTTATGACCCCTTCATCCAGTAGAGAATGGCAGAAGTGAGACTATGCGACATTCAAGGCTAGGTCATAAAGGCAGTGCAGCTTCTGCATTGTGAATAGGATGTTTGCTTTTTGAGCCCTGAACCATCGTTTAGGGAATCCCACTATCCTGCAGCCACCATGCTGTGAGGAAGCCCAGGCTGCACAGAGAGGCCATGTACCTGTGCTCCCATTGACAGGACCAGCTGAACCAGCCTTTGAGTCATCACAGCCCAGGTTTTGGTCATGTGGGGAGGAGATGCCTCCAGATGACTCTAGCCATAGCACCAAGTCACCCTCAGTCAGTTGAGTCTTCCCAACTGTGTCCTCACACATCAAAAAGCCAGAGATACCATCTCTGTTATGCCTGTCTAAATTCCTGACCTTCAGAATCCATGTGCATAATAAAGTAGTTGGGCTTTGTCATTGAGTCCTGGGGTGGTTTGATAGGCAGCAGTCGTAACTGGGACACCAGGAGCCAGTTTGCTGGCTGCTCCTGCCTAGGCTTATTGTCTGTCCCAGGAAAGGAAACTCTCCGGGGTCCTAAACCTTCCCTCCTTCCATTTTTCTTTTCCTCTCCACCAACAAGTCCACTCAAGCAAGAAAGTAGAAGTAGAGAAGACTATTCTTGGCTGAGAAGCACCATCTGTGTTTCACTGTGATTTCCTGCATTGGGATTCCCGTCAGACTTGCACTGGGTCAGCACAATCTCTGGTTTATTTTCTAACTTCAGTGACTTAGTTTTATATCTTGTTATTAGAAAAAGAGTCACACAGGTTCTGTGTGGTGTAAGATTCCTCTCCTCACTGATGCACTCCACCTTCCCAGATGACCTTGAGAAGACAGAGCCAACCCCTTGGGCCTCCTGTTGCTCTGATCCTGATGTCATCCGTCAACATCCTGTAGGAAGCTGATCCTGGGGTCTCCTGACCCGCACTGAAAACCATAACTCCCCAAGGAAAGCCTTGAACAATTTTTGCCATTTCCTTAGTGAAAGGGGAGACTTGTTCCCCATCTTGGGGGACACCTGGTCTTTGAGAAATCTATTCTGTGCCAAAAGCTTCTAGAAACTATACTTAGTTTCAAGTGATGGGGCAGTACCACCCTTTCCTGGGGACACAGGAAGAAGAGGTTGGTGCCAGGGTCTGGAAGGTTAGGGACTAGGGGACTTACTCCTAAATACCTCAGTGATGGGCCGGCCCGTGGCTCACTCAGGAGAGTGCGGTGCTGATAATACCAAGGCCACGGGTTCGGATCCCATATAGGGATGGCCGGTTAGTTCACTGGCTGAGTGTGGTGCTGACAACACCAAGCCAAGGGTTAAGATCCCCTTACCGGTCATCTTTAAAAAAAAAAAAAAAATGCCTCAGTGATCATTCAACTTAATTGATATAAATTAGGAAAGCCAAGCATTCTGGGAAGCAGGGCAGATGTGTCTTCAGTCTTGGAGAAATCCTGGTCCTACTACTTACTAATTGTGTGGCTTGGAAAGGTCACTCACCTCTCATAGCCACCCCCAGGTATTGCAGGGAGGGAGTGATACTGTGCCCCCAGCCAGTGTATGGCATCTATTAAGTACTCACTAAGCCATAGCTATAGATATTATTGCCCAAGACATAGAGAAGTTGTAGTGGAGCTTTGTCACAGCCAGCCACAGCTCCTTGCCCAGTGTATGGGAACCAGCTGTACACGTTTCTCTTTGCTCCTAGGTTGTGAATTCTTTGAGGATAGGGGCTGTGTCTTGGTGCCAACTCTAACTTTTAGCAAAGTAGAGACTCAATAAGTGTGTGAGAACAGGTAAATGAGTTGGTTGCCCTCTATACCCATGTGACTACATGTGGTAGATGAATAAATTGAAACTCAACCAAGTGACCATATTAAGGCACAGACTTAAATGCTCAGTTGTGAAATTTGGTTCAGGTTAGTTTTCCTGAAAGGGGGAAGAGGCAGGCTGCAGTCTGGAAAAGGAGGTAGAGGCCATGGGGTTGGGGCAGAAGAATTTGTGTTGGAGGCGCTTGGGTGGTATCAGTAGTTGTAATTGGCTTTGGGTGTCCCAAAAGTGACTTGAATCATAAGCCACTTTTTAAGGCATCTGGATCATCTTTGAGAGAGAAATCGCCTATGGGTGTGTTAACAAAGCAAGTCACATGGCCCAGAACTTGTCAGTGGGAGATTGTTACACTAAGGGCCCCCCACAAAACACACCTCCCAGCGCCCAAGCTCTTGTGCAGTCTCTTCTGCATTGACTCTGCACTTGACCAATGGACATCACAAACATTATGAAGGCAGAGTACGGAGAGGTGTAGAATATCCACATTTTCAGACTTACTGGCCATGGGACCTTTTATGTAGGGAGTAGTTCAGAAAGCATGTATTTCTGGGTGGAGGTCAGTAGGAAGTCTCGATGTGAATGTGTGTCTGAGGCCTTGTGACCAGTCTCCTTTGCTGGGAGAGCATGGTTTGTACAGAGGAATAGTAAGAAATGGGGATAGATAGGTGGGCTAGGGCCAGGCAGTGTGGCAAGATCATAATGGTCTTGGGCTTTTTTCCCGAGGTACCGGGAGCTGCAGAGGCAGGGCAATGAGGGATCCTCCAGTAGAGAAAGACGGAATGGATTAGGAAGGCGGGATGAGAACTTGGGATCCTATAAGAGTGTGGGCAAGAGAGGATGAGGGCCTGACCCAGGACCAGGAAGAAGGCAGAGAAGTAGCAGGATGTGAAAGACACCTGTAGAAGGAGAATCTGGGATTTGGCAACTAATGGAAGGGAGATGGTGAGGGAGGTGTGGGGGACCATGAGGAACAGATGATTGAGGTTGTCAGTCTGTCCGTTAGAGAGGGTGGCAATTCTGGTAACAGGAGTAACAGGAACTGCAGGTTGGGGAAAGCGATGAGTTTGGTGTGTCTGAAGCCCAGCCTAGTAAAATCATACAGGAGGTGGGTGGACTTCTGAAGCTCAAGAGGTCCAGTTAGAGTGCAGATGTGGGAGTTCTCTCCATCCCAGGAGAGAGGTGATGAGAGTGAGTGCATAAGAGAAAAGGGAGTGGGCTGCAGTCAGAACCCAGGGGCATCCCCAAATGACTGGTCTCTGGTCAGTGCTGAAGAGCATCTGCGCTGGGATAGGGCCCTATTGCCTTCTTCCACTGGATGCCAGGCTTCTTTCTAGTGGCTTCATTTTCCTGTCCTGATGGGTAGCAGCTCTACTCACTACCCACTGGGCCTGTGCCAGGCCTGCCCACAAACCAGTGCTGTGCCTGAGCTTAACACCAGCAAGCCATGCACACACCAGTGAACAGACCTTCAGAGCCTTTTCTGGAAGCTACTGAACCTTCCCCAGAGAAATGTACATGCACCAGACTCAATTCATTTGAGAGAATTTCTAAGGGCTTGTCAATTCCTGATATCCATGCTCAGGCCAAAGTAAAACTCTGCTCTACACCAACTGTCTCCTTGTGCAGCTGTAAGATAACAGGTAGAGTTAAAGGAGAGATGTCATCTCTAGCTGGCCAGGGGGCGTCTCTGCTTTTACCAGCTTCCTGGAGCTGGGGCTTTCCATATCTGCTCCTTGATGTCTGTCAGTAATTATGTGCCACACTCTTAAATCTCTTGCAACCCCTCCTGTATTTTGCTGGACGAGACTGCCCAAAGGTAGTGGACAGAGTGACAGTCTGGGGTCTAAGAACCGAATCGACCCTTGGCACCGTCTTCCCTCCACTTGCTTGGCTAGCGGCTTCATGACTCTCTCAACCCCTGAACCGTCACAATGTACATTTATTTATGCACGCATTTTTATAGAATACAAACACTCTGGGACGCCTCCATCCCTTTAACGTCCCAGAGCCGAGACTCAGAAGATAAACAGGGGTCCAGCCTTAGAAGGCCGAGGTGTGCTCCCAGGAGCGGTTCTCGGCCTGGGTGGGGACCGGAGGAGTGCCAGACAAGGAGGTGAGGCCGGGGCGCTCCGGCCGGGGGCGGGGCGTGGGGTGGGAGGCAGGGCCGGGGGTGTCTTTCAGGCGCGGGTCAGAGCCTGGGGCGTGACCGGCCCCGAGGCCGCGAGCCCAGGGGTCCACCCCTCTCTGCTCCGGGCAGTGGGAAGGCGGATGGGGTCCACAAGCCAGAGTCCCTATACATAGGCGTTTTTGCCGTATTTGCCAAAGCTGTTGTCGCCTTCATTCGAGGGGGCCAGGGGCATCACGGATGCGGAAGCCTTGTAGGGGAGCCGGGCGCTGTGGGGAGAGGGGCCCGGGTCAGGGGGAGACGTGGCCCTCGCCCCCGAGCCGCCTTCTCCCACCCGCACCGTGCCCCGCGCTGCGCGCCCCTCCCTCACCCGGCGGCGGGGTCCTCGTCAGGGCGGCAGCAGCAGTTGGAGCAGAGGCAGATGCCGCCCAGGATGGACAGCAGGGAGGCGCTCCAGCCCAGGTAGAGGGCGGGACCCAGCTCGTACCTGCCGACAAGGGCGACACGGGGGGAGCGCGAGGTGAGGCCGAGCCCCACCGGAGCTCCCGAGGGCGGGGTTTCCTCACTCACTTGGTTCCGGGATACAAGGGGTCGAAGAAGTCCCGGGTGATGTTGAAGGCGTACCAGGAGATGGCCACCATCCCGCAGAGACCTGGGGGGCGGGAGGAGGACCGCACTAGCGCCTCTCGGGTCCCCGCGGCCCCAGCAGGGGGGAGGGCGGGCAGGGGCTACCCAGAGTCGGAAGTGGTGGGAGAAGGGCATCATGCCCAAGAGCAGCAATTTCATTCAATTCCTTTCTCTCGCTACTTACTTTCCTATTTTCTGGAGTCAGCTGTAAACTGTCTAGCATTCAGACACCACTCCAGCCCGCCTTGCTCATGTCCCACCACTTTATGTCTCATCCCTCTTCTTCCCCCACCCCCCTTGTCCCAGACTGGCCTTGACCACATCCTTTCCTCACTTGGCATCTGTCGCATCCTAATCCTACCCCTCGAGAACCCAGCTGCCCCCAAAAGTCTCCCTTGACCGTCCCTGCCTATCCTGACTTCCCTTTGCAGCCCTCAGAGCCTGCGACCTGCCCTTGCCACTCGGTGCAGTGAACGCCTGAAACCAGACTGACCCCTGGACCGTCACCACCCCACTCGCTGGGGTCTTTTTCTACTGTCAGCCACCTGGCTTCTCAGCCTGTTTTCACATCTGGAAAACAGCACAGTACCTACTCTGCCTGGAAGACTTAAGGTGAGGTGATGTGTGCAGAAATGTTCTGCACATCGAAGAG